AGTAGTAGTAGTAGTAGTAGTAGTAGCAGCAGTAGTAGTAGTAGTAGTAGCAGTAGTAGTAGTGGTGGTGGTGGTGGTATTAGTAGTAGTTGTAGTAGTAGCAGTAGTAGTAGTAGTAGTAGTAGTAGTAGTAGTAGTAGTCGTAGTAGTGGTAGTAGTCGTAGTAGTAATAGTAGTAGTAGTAGTAGTAGTAGTAGTAGTAGTAGCAGTAGTAGTAGTAGTAGTCGTCGTAGCAGTAGTGGTAGTAGTAGTAGTAGTAGTAGGAGGAGGAGGAGGAGGAGGAGAATGAGGAGGCGGAGGAGGTGGTGGAGGAGGAGGAGGAGGAGGTAGAATGAGGAGGAGGAGGAGGAAGGAGGAGGAAGGAGGAGGAGGAGGAAGATGAGGGGATGCAGGAGGAGAGAGGAGGAGGAGGAGGAGGAAGAGGAGGAGGATTCGGAGGAGGAGGAGGAGGAGAAGGTGGGAGGATGAGGAGGCTGAAGGCTGAAAGTGAGTCAGCGCCTGCGCACAGAAATCTGCTCTTCCTTTGCATTCAGCGATAAACGCGGTTCAGGGTACTGGAGCAGCCCCTTGACGTCGGACGATTCGCGGCCCAACCGAACCGACACGGTTCATTTGGGCACGAGACCACCTTGTCGAAACCATTTGCATTGCGCAATGGGGCCTGCCCAACAGCCCCAGCCGTGAGTGGACACAAGGCCCGACCAGATTTACGTGGCACACGCCACCACCTCTCACGGAAAACGCAAATCCCTGGGAGCCAGACCACATGGGTGACGCCGCCGCCAGCAGGGCAAGGCTGAGACCGAGGGCCTTGCTACACCCAACGACGAGACCGCGCGCAGCGCAAGTCCCGCCGATACAGGTTTCGCAGCGTCCACCCCCAGGCCCAGTGCCCGCTGCGTTCCGCACAGAGACCGAGGGCCGTGCTACACCCAACGACGGAAGCCTTGCGGAACCCTGCCGATACATGTTTCGCAATGTCCACCCCCAGCCCCTGTGGAAAAAACGACCGGTAGCCGCTCACCCTGACCGCGGATGCAATGCCCTGAACAGTCTGCCCCGAGCAAAGTGTGGCGCTGGGCACTATGAGAACAGCTGCCAGGCCCCACCCTCGGGGAGTAGGAGGAGGAGGAGGAGGAGGAGGAGGAGGAGGAGGAGGAGGAGGAGGTAGAGGAGGAGGTAGAGGAGGTAGAGGAGGTAGAGGGGGGCAGGGGGATGGTGGCGACCCTGGCTTAAGGAGAGACAGACGATGGCCATGACCAAGATGTAGCAGGATATTGTCGACGCCGATCTCTCTAATGGCCCGTGCTGGCCGTAGCCGATCCGCGGGGATGTTCCACGAATCGTTCAAGGTTGAGCGATCCACTTTGTGTCAGAAGCCAACGCCGACTTCGTCGCGACGTTTTCTGCCGTATTCCATGAGAGCATGATTTCTTCCAGGATGCTTCTGCATATGGGACAGTGGGGTGTTGAAGTGTTTTTCGATGTTTCGCTGATAATGGGGTTGTTTCGTGGGCTGGGAGCCGTCAACAAACATCTGTTCCTGGTTGAAACATCTCTTCCTGGGAGAGCCCCGACTCCTGCATGACCCGATTTCTGCCTTGTGGTTACCTCCTGACAATGGTTGGGTGGCTCAGGCCCCATGGCCTTGACCCACATTTGCCGGTTACACTCTTTCTGAAGTTTTGCCCAGGTCGAAGGTAGGCAGGCCATATAGCGATATGCCGAGGACGACGAGGTGTGTTGCCAACACGCAGCTTTCGTCGATGTAAGGGGATTCGCATGGCCATCGGCGATGCAAGACGATGTCGATGTCAAGCGGGGTCCGTGGCCGTTTTGGCTCAGGTTGTTTCGGCTCAGTTCGGGCCATCTGGCTCAGGCCAGTAGGGCCTAGGCCACGATGGGCCCCTCCTTTTTTGGCAGGCGGCACCGAAGGCCAGCGACGGACCGCACCTCGCGACGGGCGCCCTTCAAACTAAGGCTACCGCGCTGGGGGCGGCCTGGGGCCAAGGTCAAGCCGGAAGTCTACGTGGAGCGCGCGTACCATTAGGGGGCCACATGCGAACCCTACCTCAACCCCCCACGTTTTCTGAGGGGGAGGGTGGTGTTCACTTCGTTCGGGAGCTCCCGAGCGAAGTGAACCCCACCCTCCCCCTCAGAAGTCGTGGAGGGTAGGGGTGGGGTTCGCATGTGGCCCTCCAACCATCTCGATAGCGAGGCTTCCACCACGGTCGGCGGCAGCGAGGCGAGCAGCAGGGGACTCAGCGAGTTCGATGGCGTGGTGTGCCGACCCGGCAGCGGCTGCCTGGGCACCGGGGACATGCCCGGCGTGCCAGATCTTGCAGACAGTCCCTGCGCGTCAGCGGTCGGGGGCGGAAAAGACGGGGGTGATGACTACGGGGGGGTGGATCTCATGGCGTGGGCCATGAGATTTCCCCAGATCTCATGGCGCCTCTTCTTATTTCATTACGTTCCTGGCCCCCCCGCTGGGCCGCGCACATGCCGCCGGTCATGATTTGCACCCCCCCTCTTGGACACCTCCCTCTTTGCCGCCCCCGACGTCAGCGGGGCCCGACCAGGTCACGCGCCGGGCTTCGCCTGTGGCGACCAGCGAGAACTGGACGATGAAGGACTTCGAGGTCGTGAGGGCTCTGGGTAAGGGCTTCATGGGTTCGGTGCTCATGGTCAGGCTCTCCAGTGCCAGAGGTACGGCTCCCTGCGCGCTGAAGATAATCGACAAAGATCGTATCATCAGGGAGCACATGGTTGAACGTGTGCTGCAAGAGAAGGAGCTCCTTTCGCGAGCCAGCCATCCGTTCGTCGTCAGGCTGTTCGGCACGTTCCAGGACGACGCGCACTTCTTCGTACTGATGGAATGTGTTGGCGGAGGTGACCTGTTTTCCGCCATGCGAAGCGTGAGGTTCAACGACGTGTGTGCGCACTTCTTCGCTGCTGAGATCACGCTTGCAATTGGACATCTGCACAGTTTGGACATCGCATATCGTGACCTCAAGCCCGAGAACGTTGCTATCGACTCGCTGGGCCACGCCAAGATCATCGACTTTGGATTGGCCAAAGTCGTCGAGGCAAGAACGTACACAATGTGCGGAACATCTGAGTACATGGCGCCCGAAGTCTTGACCCACGTCGGTCATGGCAGTTGTGTGGACTGGTGGGCGCTTGGCATCCTCATCTTCGAAATGCTCTCGTTCCGGTTCCCGTTCACAGGACGCACCGCCGCAGAGATTCACAAGAGCGTGGTTTTTAGCGATCCGAGGTGCCCTCCCTACTTCGGGAGCGCGACCAAGGGCATCGTCTACCTGCTCCTGATCAAAGACCAGACGCTGCGCCTCGGCAGCGGCGCCGACGGCGGAGGACGCCTCCAGAGACGGCGACGGCGACGGCGACGGCGACGGCGTTGGCGACGGCGACGGCGACGACGACGACGACGACGACCACGACGTCGGCGACGACGACGGCGGCGGAGGACGCGTCCAGAGGCACCCGTGGTTCTCCCCCGTGGACTGGGACGACCTCCTCCGGCGGAGGTGCACCTCGCCCTTCCCTCGGCCGCACGCAAGGGTGGCCTCTCGCCAGGGCGATCTCTTTTGGTGCGTGGCGACCTGGGGCCACCCGATATCGCAGAGCACCGGTGCGGCAGCGGCAGCCTGCGCGCTCTGGCTCGGCCCCCCGCCCCGCGTCACTCCTGAAGACGCGCAGCAGAGGGGTCAGCGGGCGAGGTTGACGTAGGTCGCGGGCGATGTTTCTCCCCCAATCCCCGAGTTTCGCCCGAAAAGTCTGGCCGCTCAGAAGAATGGGAAAACCCTGGGATACACCCCAAGGGGGCTATTCGGACGCACCCCTATCGAGAATGGACACCCCCCCATCGTATATCCCAGGGTTAGGCCCCAAATTTCTGGTCCATTCGGAAACCCCACGAAGCCTGGGATAGGGGTCGACATATCCCCTGTTAGTAGGATTAGTTCTCCCGTCGCGGGCGCCGGTCCCAGGGCGGCTAGTGCCACCGCAGGGGCACACCACTTTCCAGCCGCCCCGGGACGGGCGCCCCCGACGGCGAGAACGTCTGTTTAGTCGCTTCGCGCACTCCGCCGCCCCATCTTGCGCGCCTTGGAAGCCTGTTGGGGCGTCCCGGGAGCCTCTTCGGGCGCAAGGCTCGCATTGTCGGTTCGTGCTCCCCCCTCTTGGGCCAGTCTTGGGGCCGTTCTGGGGCTCTTTTGGGCTGTCGGGGTCGTCTCGGGATGTCTTTGGACTTACCTGGGGGCCTCTTGGGCCGTCTTGGGGCGATCTTTGGGGCCCCTGAGGCCGTCTTGGAGCTTCGGACGCTCGAAAAGGCGAAACGCTTCGAACACTCAAACTCACTGACTTTTCTCTCTGTGGGCGCTCTTGGGGGACCTCTTGGAGCGCACTTGGGGATTCTTTGGGGCCTCGTCGGTTGTCTTGTAGGCATCTTCGGCCATCTTGGCCCAGGTCCGTCTTGGAAGCCACCTCGTGCATCTTGGACACATCTTGAGCGCATTGAAGAGCGACAGCGCCTGGAACCCATCCCACCGTTGTGCGTGTGTTGTGAGTCAGAATCGTCTGGGATGCTCGTGGCGAGCGAGGAGGAGCAGGAGGGGGAGGAGGAGGAGGAGGAGGAGGAGGGGGAGGAGGAGGAGGAGGGGAGGAGGAGGCGGAGGAGGGGGCCTCTTGGCGGTATTTCTTGGACCTCCTGGGGCCTCTTGGGGGCCTCTTGGAGCTCTCTTGAGGCCTCTTGCGAGCCTCTTGGGGGCTTTTTGGAGCCTTCTGGGGGCCTCTCGGGGCCGAGAGCTGAAATGTCAGTTCGGGTGCCTCGTCAGAGCGCGCTCTTAGAGCTTTCTTGTGGACCTCTTGGGCCGTCTTGGAGGGCTCTTGGATTGTCTTCGGGCCCTCTGTGCCCGTATTTGGGCCCTCTTAGAGGCGTCTTGGACTGTATTGGGGCGATCTTGGCGGCTTCTTTAAACCATACGACTTCCATTACTTTTTGCCTCTTGGGGCGGGCTCTTGGTGGCCTCTTGGGACGTTTGAAAGGCGTCTTGGGCCATCTCACATTTGGCGTTTGGGACAGATCGTTCGACGTCTGGGAGCCCTCTTGGAACGTCTTGGGGGCCTTTGGGGGCCCACTTGGGGCGCTCTAGGGGGCCTGATGGGCGGCGCCCAGAAGGAAAACCATCTCTGATCCGAACCGACCGGGGTCCTTTTCGTCCAGGGACCCTCGTGGGCCGCCCCGCGCGCGCGAATTAGAAAGACTGTAAAGTAGTTGCTGGAAGTCTTGGCAAGCCTTTGGCCCGTCGGGCCGGCGAAGGTTATGCACCGCCCTTCGCCCGCTGACAGGTCATTGTTGCCTCAAGCAGGCCCTGATTAGCAGCAGGTCGACCCTGCCAAGTTGAAGGGTATCCTCGTGTTCTGTCTCTGGAGGCCCGTTCCCTTTTCCCTCCCATGGCGATGTGGCCCTCGGAGGGGTCTTGTGTCCTCCCGCGTGCCCTCTCCAATCAAGCCCGGCTGCAGAGCCACTCGCTGCGTGCAGCCGCTTCATGCCGAACGCGAGCGGCGACGCTGGGCCGCCCGCGCGCGGCGGCTCCGCGCCGGGGGCGGGAGGCTGCGGCGCGCCGCCGCGAGCGGCCTCCTCCAGCCAGGCGGCTCCCACGCCAGGGGGGGTCCTCTCGGAGGGGCAGCACCAGCTGGTCGGTGGCCTCTGATCGTTCTGGCGGAGGCCATGTAGCCGGGCTTCCTCATTCTCCCCTTCTCTCTATTTCTCTCTCTCTCTCTCTAGTTCTCTCTCTCTCTCTCTCCCTATCTCTCTCTTTCTCTCTCCCTCTCTACTGTCTCTGTTTATGTTTATCTTCGCTGTTTTTTTGTTATTTTTTTGTTTTCTCTCTCTCTCTCTCTATGTATGTATGTACGTGTGTGTCTCTCTCATTATATTGTACTATGTCTCTCTCTCTCTCTGCAGCTTTGCTCTATTGAGGTGCGGGCAGCTCGCTCAGTCACGCTGAGGCGTAATCATGACACGTGCAGTATCCCAGGAGCTGCGCCCGAGGGTGGCCCATGTCCCACCACCGCCACCAGGGGCAGGCCGGGGGAGAAGGGAGGATGGGGGGTCCCCCTCCCCCTCCTCCTCCTCCTCCTCCTCCTCCTCCTCCTCCTCCTCCTCCTCCTCCCCCTCCTCCTCCTCCTCCTCCTCCTCCTCCTCCTCCTCCTTCCTCCTCGTCCTCCTCCTCCCCTCCTCCTCCTCCTCCTCCTCCTCCTCCTTCTCCTCCTCCTCCTCCTCCTCCTCCTCCTCCTCCTCCTCCTCCTCCCTCTCCTACCTACGGTAGTGGCGGTGGAACATTGGCCCATCAGCCTCCTAACCTTCAGGCTTGCCTGGCCCCTGGGCTCGGCGCCGCGCTCGCCGCGCGCACCGCGGGCTGCTTCCTCCCCGCCGCGGCGTCCGCGCTCGCGCTCCCTCGTGCCGTGCGTGAGCACGTGCGCTGCGGACCGGCCGAGAGCTACGCATCGCCGATCGGTCGGCGGTGTGTCGCCGATGCAAGCTCGAGGTTCCCCCCACCTGCGCCAGCCCCCCCCCCTAACGTGGACCCTCCCTCGGGATGGCACGGCTGGCATTGGCCAGGCGAGGGGAGGCGGGGTCCGAGAGGATCGTCGTCGTCGTCATCATCGTCGTCGTCGAGTCGTCGACGAGTCGTCGACCTCGTCCTCGTCCTCGTCCTCGTCGTCCTCGTCGTCGTCGTCGTCGTCCTCGTCGTCGGACGCGCAAGTCGGTGCTCGTGCTGCTGCCACTCCTGGCGCCTTCGCCACCGAATGCGAAGGTCCGCCGCGGGCCGCGAGGCGCGGCACGCGGGTCTGCACGCGAGCAGGTGCGGAGAGTGGGTGGGCTGCGGTTTTCTTCCCCCTGGCCAGCGGGTGTCAAAGGGTTCTCATGCTTCTGGGCCGCCTTGATGGGGTCGGAGTAGATGGGATCGGAGGATCACGCCGTATCGCCGATGCATCGTCGATGTATCGGCGATGCGGCTCGATTTGTAGCCCGATGTGCTTCACGTCGACGTCGCCGATGCATCGCCGATGCGTCGCTGATGTATCGCCGATGCATCGGCGATGTGGCACGATCCTCCGACCCCATCTACTCGGACCCCGTCTAGAAGGCCTCTAATGCTGCTGCGAGGAGCTCCGAATGGGGCGGAGTCTTTGCCAGGTCAGTGGTGCCGAGCGTGGCCAACTCCTGTCAGGTGGAGCCTTGAATGCCTAACCTCGTTCGGAGCAATACACCTTGACTGGGAGCTCACATCCATTCTAGCGTGACACACTGGTGTCGCCGAGCCGTTGGCTACGTTAACTTCAATGTGTCAGTTCAGCTTCGGCGCAGTGCCGACAGGGCCTGGGTCAGGTTCGGCTAGGGATTGGCTGCGTTAGGGGGGGTGTATGTGCGAGCGGGAGCTTGGGTTACAATGAGACAGCAGTGCAACAAGACTCCAGTCGGATTCCAACGAGAGCCCAGGAGAGTTCTTCAATACCCGGAGGAGGCAGTTTTGCGACTTCGGCGGCTCGCGTGGCGGCGCCTCGAGGGCGTGCAGCGGCGAGCCGGCGCAACATGCCGCTGTGCCGCGAGGCGTGCCGCCAGCCGCCTCGTGCTCCACAACCCCACCCCGCCTCCTTGGGGTGCATGTATACCCCGCGCTCGATGCTCAAGAAATGCAAGATTTCCTGTCCTAGACGCGCGGATCAAGAAACCAGCGGCGCTTGCCAGACCCTGGGGGATATGTCTGAAATTTGATGATTTCCTGTGGTCGTGTGGGCGCCCACTTGGGCCCCATTTGGATTCGGCTGGGCCCCACTTGGGTTGGGCTCGGGCCCCACTTGGGTCCCACTTGGATTCGGCTCGGGTCCCACTTTGATTCTGCTCGGGCCCCACTTGGGCCCCACTTGGATTCGGCTGGGCCCCACTTGGATTTGGCTCGGGTTCCACTTGGGCCCCACTTGGGCACTGTGGAAGTCGAGGCGCAGTCGTCCGCAGTCGCCCACCCAAATAATGAACGTGACAAGCGCATCATGAGGCAAATCTGACAAATATCCCACATCGCCAAAAACATAACGGAATAATACATTAAACAAGCATGAGCTTGTTTTCAAGGTGCCCTCTCCTCGGGCGAGGGTGGCCCCTCAGATCCAGGCGGGGCCCAAGTGGGGCCCAGGTGGGGCCCAAGTGGGGCCCGAGCCCACGCCGAATCCAAGTGGGGCGCAAGTGGGGCCCGAGCCCAACCCAAGTGGGGCCCGAGCCAGATCCAAGAGGGGCCCAGCCGAGTCCAAGTGGGGCCCGAGCCCAACCCACTTGCATTCGGCTGGGCCCCACTTGGGCCCCACTTGGCTTCGGCTGGGCCCCACTCGGGTTGGGCTCGGGCCCCACTTGTGCCCCACTTGGATTCGGCTTGGGCTCGGGCCCCACTCGGGCCCCACTTGGGCCCCACTTGGGCCCCTCGGGCCCCACTTGGGCCCCACTTGGATTCGGCTGGGCCCCACTTGGGTTGGGCTCGGGCCCCACTTGGACCCCACTTGGATTCGGCTCGGGCCCCGCTTGGATTCGGCTCGGGCCTCACTTGGGCCCCACGAGGCGGATTAAGGACCGACCGGAGATGCGCGCACCACATTTGTCCACGCAGTTTCCGTGCACATGACATTTTCATACGCAGCACGTCGCGCAGTCTTGCACGGTCGCATGGATTCATGCATCTACCGAGAGCCCTGGGATTTCGCAACGAGATTTAAGAGACCAGCCGGCGCGAGACCATGAATTTCTCAACCCATGATTTCTTAACCCCTCTTTGCGATATATATATATATATATATATATATATATTATGAAGTTTTATGTGCACGCACCTATGCGACCACCCTTCGGGTGACAAGGAGGTTGGGGGGAGGGCAGATAGCCAACTGCTGGCAACTGCGATGGGCGTGATGATGACGCTGGCGGCGCGCCCTCGAGTTGGTGACGACGCGTGATGGCGATGTTGCGCCGCGATGAGATGTCACTATCGACCACGCTATTGATCTCACTTGATCGATCTCACTAACGACCTCACGGCCAGTCTCAGTATCGATAGATCCAGCGATCGATCTCATTAGCGATCTCACACTCAGTGTCGCTGGATACATCCAGGACACCATCGGGACACCATCGAGCCAAATCATTGCCACCGCCACTGCACTGTGATGAATGCTTGCTGACCGTGGTGGTTGAGTGTTGATGGCGATGTGATGGCTTTTCGGAGCTCGCGCCACCGCCTGCAAGTGAACTGCGCGCCAGTAGCCCGAACCCGTCGTTGGTAATGCCGCACAGCTGCGGTAGCAGTGATCGCAGTGGACCCGGTAGCGATCGCATCGGCCACGGTGGTTGCAATGCGATGCGCGAGTGGTCGCGACGACTGCAACCAGGAGAGCCCACTGACCCGATCCCACAGTCGATCTCAGTACCGATCTCACCTGATTGATCTCACAACCGATCTCATTATCGATCTCACTTACCGGATCTCGATATCGGAGAGAGCGTGATCCACCGCCGCTTTACTGTGGAAAATTGCCAACCTTTTCCTCCGGAACCCGGGGGTCGCCCCCCCCCCCCCTCGGAACCCCCCCCCCCCTGCTCGAAACACCCCCCCCCCCCCTCCCCTCCCCCGGCAAAACCCCCCCCCTCCCGTAACCCTCCCCCCCCCCCCCCCTCCCCCTCGAAAACCGGGGGTTCACTACCGGAACCCCTTCCCCCCCCCCCCCCGGATCCGGAAACCGGGGGGGTCACTACCGGTTCGAACCCCCCCCCCCCCCTCGAAAACCGGAGGGGGATCACTACCGGTTCGAACCCCTCCCCACCCCCCCACTCACCGCCAGCAAACGACTCCCGGTCCCTACCACCGTCCGCATCACATCCTCCACTGTTGTTCCCAGCACCACTGTCCTCACCACCACTGTCCCCACTGTGTCCCCACCAGTGCCCCCACCACTGTCGCACTGTCCCCACTGTCCCCACCACTGTTCCCACCACGGTTCCACTCTCCCCACTGTCTCCACGGCCCCAACCACTGCCCGACTATCCCCACTGTCCCCACTGTCCCACTGACTCCGCCGCTGTCCCACTGAGCTGTCCCACTGTTCCCACCACTGTCCCCACTGTCCCCACCACTGTCCCCACTGTACCTCTGTCCCATTGTCCCACCGCCGTCCTCGCCACCGCCTTCACCACTGTCCCCACCACCATTGTACCCTCCACTGTCCCACTGTTTCCACCTCATTCCCACTGTGCCCACACCGCTGTCCCCACCACCACCGTCCCCACCACTGTCCACTGTCCCCCCTGTTCCCACCATTGTCCCCACCACTGTCCCCACCACTACCGGCCCTCTACTGTCCCACTGTCCCACTGTCCCCACCACTGTCCCGCTGTCCCCTCACCACTGTCCCACCAACACCGTCCCCACCTCTGTCCGCACCCCCACTCGGTTTTCGAGGGGGGGGGGGGGTTCGAACCGGTAGTGACCCCCCCCCCTTTTCATGATGAGCTGGGGGGGGGGGGAGGGGTTCGAACCGGTAGTGACCCCCCCCCGTTTTCCGGAGGGGGGGGGGGGGAGAGGGGTTCGAACCGGTAGTGACCCCCCCCGGTTTTCCGCCAGCAGCGGTAGAACACGTTCTTTCCGATATCGATCCCGCAGTCGATCTCACAATCGATGTCAGTATCGTTCTTACGAACGAGCTTACTATCGATCTCATTCGACCGATCTCACGATCGATTTCACATTATATTTCTGAAGCGATCTCAGTCGATCTCACAATCGGTCTCACGGTCCCACAATCGATCTCACTATCGATCTCACAACCGATCGGATTGACGACCTCACTATCGATTGCACTATCGATGCAGCTATCGATCTCCCTATCAATCTCACTACCGGTCGCACGATCGATGCAACTACCAACATCACGATCGACCTCATTACCGATTCAACCATCGATCTCACTACCAGTCTCACTATATATTGGTCGTTATCGACCCCACCATTGATTTCACTGCCGATCGGGACACCATCGGGACACCATGGCGGGACACCGCGGGACCCCTTGGGCACCAAGGGATACCGCGGGACACCCTTGGGACACCGCGGGACACCACGGGACACCACGAGACACCATCGGGACACCACGGCGGGGCACCGAGGGACACCATCGGGACACCGCGCGAAACCATGACGAGAAGCCCCCAGCCGCCGCGCGCCCACCAGAGGGCCGGATTTTTGCACCCGAATCGCCCTAGCGACGGCGGGATTATTCCTGTCGCGCGCCCGCACAGCTTCGCCTCGCCAGCACGCACGACACGAACACGAAACCGAAGCCGATTTCCCGGTGGGGGGCTCGCCGTTCCACACAGCTAGCTCACCCCCCAGCCTCCGACAAATGTGACCGTTGCCGTGCCAATTTGTACACGGGTTCGGTATGTCATCGGGTTGGGACGGCCATGGCGCGCGGTCGTTTGTGAGTTTGGCCTGTCAGGAAGCCTCTTTGGGCCTCTCGGTCGGGAGCCTTTGGGGGCCGTCGGGGGCTTCTTTTTGGTTCTTCGAGGGGGGCCTCTCGGAGGCCTTCTGGCGGTCTTGGGAGCCCCTTGAGGGCAGTTCGGGTGGACCCCTGTGTAGGCCGTCTTGGGTTCTTCTTGGGCCGTCTTGGGGTCCGTTTGGGGCGTCTCGGGGCCCTCGCCCTCTTCGGGGCCTTTTGGGGCCATCTTGGGATGATCTGGGAGGCCTCCTGGGCCGTCCTGGACGCCGTGAAGGCCGAAAAGTCGCATATGCTAAGAATGCATGTTCCCCTTCGGAATGAGACGATTTTTGCTTCTTGAAGCTCTCTTAGGAGGGCTCTTGGAGGGCTCTTAGGGCGTCTTGGAGGCCTCTCGGGCCGTCTGGAGGCCATCTGGAGCGTCTTGGACCGATCGCTCGGTGACTCGGGGCCGTCTAGGGCCGTTTGGAAGGCATCTTGCAGCTCGTTTGGCCCGTCTTGAGGCGCTCGGGGGCCGTCTTGGGGCCCTCCCGTGGCGCTCCGGACCCAGCCCCGCCCGCGCGCCGGAGATCGAGGCAGATCCGCTTTCTGAGAATAGAGGTGCCAATCGTACTAGTACAGCTATATATTCAGGAGCGAAAAAACACACAGACACAATTAATCGGCGATTCCCCAGAAAATATGGGGAAATATGGGGAGTGGGGGGGAA